GCCCCCTAGACCCAGGGCATATATACCATAGAGAAAGAATGTGTAGGACAATTGAAGTTGACCTCTCGGAAAAAGGCAAGCATGCTATAATGAATCTGCCTAATGTGGGATTTATGATCAAGGTTGTTTGGACCTGGGGTAGGATTTATGGTAACAAAAGATAAAGTAGAAATCTTAAGAGACATTTCCAGAACAGGGGTTAATCAGAAGTCAACACGGCAGATTAGCATCCAAGATGGAGTTTCTTTAGCCTCCATAGCTTCTCTACTTTTCCTTTAAAATTCTGGTCCTGGATTCTACCATAAGCCTGTTTTTCTTACAAAGCAGGAATATTAGCATGACTCCTGAGACTAAGACTATCACCTATGTGACAATGGTACCAAATCTCAATTCTTTACTCCAGATTTTTCTCATAAGACTGCATTTTCCAACTACTACATAATGTTTTCATTTTGCTTACCCAAATATATGGTAATGTGTCCCAATATTAAGGACAGTATCCTATTTCTAACTTGTTCCTTCTTCTATATTTCCATTTCACTATGATTACTCTCGCCACTGCTTTCCCTTTCCGCCTCTAACATGTAACATCCCAACCATCTCTCTTCTTCCTACCAGGGTTTGTCTTTCATCTCCACAGTTTTTAAGTCTTGTTGTAAATGAACATGTTGAATTCTTATGTAGAATGCAATACCTTATTTCTTTTTTTATGTTCAAAATGTTTCAAATTTTTAGAAAAGTTAGTAGTGGAAAATTGCAATATGTTGCACCACTGACACCAAATACTTTGTATATTTCCTATCAACAGAGACTTTGTTCTACATAATAACAATATAACTGTGAAAGTCAGAAAACTAAAATTTTTTTTTACCTTCCAATTTTTAAACACCACTCAAATTTCACTAATTATTCCAGTAATCCTTATAGCAAAATTACACAGCTCAGAATCATATCTGGCATTGAGTTATTATGTCTCTTTATTCTATATTTATCTGGAAAAATAGTTCTTTAGTCTTTTCTGTAATTTTAAGACATTGATGTTTAGAAGATTACAGGTCAATTATTTTGTAGAATGTTCCGCAATTTGGGTTTACCTAATATTTCTTCTACCTGATTAGACTCAGATTAGGTACTTTGGGCATATCACAGAGTGATGCTACGATCTTCTCAATAAATACAGTCTACAAAGAAGCATGTAATTTCAGTTTCTCTAATTACTAATGATGTCCATTTTTATTACTTGACGCCATGGCACCCACCAAGCTTTTTTTTTTTCTTTTCTTTTTTTTTTTTTAAAGCTGTAAAATACTTTCTCCCTTTGTAACTAATGAATATTTTTTTGAGGTGGTACGTCGGAACTATACAAATTTTCTAATCTTCATCAAACTTTTCATTTGTTCATTTATTTATATTGAGATGATCTATTTTATTCAATGGATTATAATTTATTACTGTCATTATCTATTCTGATGTTAGAATCTTCACTAATTTGGCCAGTGGGATTCTTTACAAGCTAATTCTTTTTCTTTCTTACATGTCTCCAACATTCTTTGAGCACTTCTTTACATTCTAGCACAAAAAGGTGTTATGAGTTCATCTTACAGTTTCTCTGCCACAGTCCTGGAAGTAGCCATTGCTCCACAGAGCCCTGGTTTCAGTGGAGAAGATCAAGGCTTTAGGTGCATTCACTGCTACTGGGATGTCACTGCTCTCAGGCCCTCTCAGTGGACAAAGCTAGGAAATGTATCTGGCTGGTCACAATGGTTCATGCCTGTAATCCTAGTACTTTAGGAAGCTGGGGCAGGATGATTGCTTAAGCCCAGGAGTTCAAGACCAGCTTGGGCAATATAGTGAGAACTCTTCTCCACAAAATAATTTTAAAATGAGCTAAGCATTGTGGCACATGCCTGTAGTCCAAGATACTTGGGAGGCTGAGGCGGGAGGATCACTTGAGGCCAGGAGGCAGAGGTTGCAGTAAGCTATGATCATACCACTGCACTCCAACCTGAGTAACACAGCGAGACCCTGTCTCAAAGATAAAAATTATATATACATATATATAAGTATACATACACACATACATATATATATATATTACATACACACACACACACACACACACACACACACACACACACACACACAACCAAAATGAAAAATGAACCACAGGGTTCATTCCATTTTCGCATTTTCCTTGTTTATATTCCCTTATTTAACTGGGAGAAACCTGGCCCCCATCATTCTTAACATATTTACTTATATGATTAATCCCTATAAACATAACTGAACTCCCATCACCAGGATAGCCTCCTCCACACACAGATAACCTGCTCAACTCATGTGGGGTCATTATCCCCTGCTGGATTCTCTGCATGGGTGCTCTCTACATATTGCTTAGGCTCTGACAACTCACACCAGGCCATCTTCCTCCCCACCTTTAGGCTCTGACATCATGCACAGGCCTCCTCACCCTACTCTGGCTCCAACATCCTGCTCTAGAACACTTTCCAACATAGACATCCTCCTCAGTCTGCTTAGACTTTGACATCTTGCATCTTTTTGACCAACCCCACAGTGTGAACACTCTCCTTCATCTGCTTGGGCTCCAACACCATAGGCTGAGCCATCCCCCTGCAGAGACAGCCTCCTCCTCCTCCTGCTTAGGTGCTACCACCCTGCTGGCCCTTACCTTCCAGTGTGGACACCTACCTTTCTCAGCCCACCTGATGCCTTTTTGACTGAACTGCTAAAGAACAGGATAGAAAGGAAGAGAAAGAGAACATCATATGTTTTGTTTTTAATATATTTTTATACTTAACAGTTGATGACTTTTGGTAAATTTATACAATTATGCAATTCATCACTGTAATCCAGTTTTAGAATGCTTCTATCACCCAAAAGTTCCCTTTTGCCCATCTGAGATCAATCTGTGCTCAAATACGTACTGATCTGGTTTTTGTCTTTCATTTTCTACAAATTCCATATTGAATCATACAATATATATGATTGTACACCAATCTTCTACATCTGTCTTCTTTCACTTATAATGGTTTTAAGACTTATTCATGTTGTTACATGTGTCAGTCATTTTTTCCTTTGTATTGCTAACTCATATTCTCTTTACAGGATATATCCAATTTTGTTTACCCATTCACAAATTGATAAACATTTACATTGTTTCCAGTTTGTTTCTATTATGAATAATGTTGCTATGAACATATACACATAATACTTCATGTAGAAAATATTTTCCAATTCCTTGGCTAACTACCTAGAAATGAAAATGCTGGGTTGTGCATACTTAATTTTATTGGAAATAAAAATGTTTTTGAAAGTGGCAGTAAGGATTTACATTCATAGCAGCACTGTGTGAGAACTTCAGTTTCTCTACATCCTTGTCCATATTTGATAATGTCAGACCTTTAGTTTGTACCCTTTCTAGTATGTGTAAAGTGCTATCTCATTTGGTTTTAAATTGCATTTCCCTAATGACTACTGATGTTGAGCATTTTCTCAAGGGGTTATTAGCCATACACATATCTTTTGTGAAATGTTTTCAGATCTTTTACTCATATATATTGAGCTATTGTATTACTGAATCATAAGAGTTATTTATACATTCTAAATGTAAGACCTTTCTCAGATAAATAAATTTTCAAATATTTTCTCCCAATCTTTGGCTTTTCATTTTTCTTTCATTGATGGTGTTTTTTGAATAGCAAAGTTTTTAATTTTACTAACATCTTTTTATCTTTTTCTTTTATGAACTGTTGTCATATCTAAGAAATCTTGGCCTAATTCAAAGCCACAAATATCTTCTCCTGTTTTCCTTGGGAAGTATTAGAATTTTAGCATTTAGACCTATTATCCACTCTCAGTTAATTTTTGTATATGAGATAATGTTTAAAAAAATATTTTTTCTATAGATGTATCCAATTGTCACAGCACTAATTATTATAACTACATGTCTCCATCATGTATTTAGTAGCCTTCAAAATGCTACTAAACCATATACTTTAAAACGATTATGATTATAAATATCATATGTATTTCACGACGATTAAATTTTATTTTATTTTACTATTGATTTGAGACAGGATCTTACTTTGCTACCGAGGCTAGAGTGCAGTGACACAATCACAGCTCACTGCAGCCTCAACTTCCTAGGCTCAAGCAATCCTCTAGCCTCAGACTCTCAGGTAGCCAGCACCACAGGCATGCGCTACCACGCCTGGCTAATTTTTTAATTTTTTATAAAGATGAAGTCTTTTGTTGCTCAGACTGGTCTCAAACTTCTGGATTCAAGTAATCCTCCACCTCTGCCTTCCAAAATGCTAGGATTACAGGCATGGGCCACCACACCTGGCTTACATTTACTTTTTGATGCCAATAATATGTCTGGAAGAGACTAGACTAAAACATCAACAGCGGTTTAGAAAGGATGGTGTGATTAAAGGTAATTTTTTTGTTGTTCTTTTCATCTTAAATGTATTTATATTTTCTATAGCAAAAATATATTCTCATAATTATATAATAAATACCTATAGGAAGCATATGGATCTCTGGCATTAGTAATGAAGTTAAATTATTCCTTTTAAAAAAAGTCTAAGCTTTCCACATTGTGTTACAGTGGTAACTTTGTCAAGTATCAGTTTGCTACAAAAACCGGAGTTTATTTTGGGATTATCTGTTCTGTTCCATTGATCTATACAGCTATCCCATGCCAATAGCATTGTGTCTTAATTATTGTATCTTTAATTAAGTTTTGGAATTAGATAGTGTATATACTGAATTTTGTTGTTCTTTTTCAAAATTTTTTGGCTATTGTGACAGACAGCTCCAAGAAAGCCCCTAAATGCTTCCTGCCTCCTAGTGTTTATAGCCTTTGTAATCCCTCCTTAAGTAACTCACTTCTAACCAACGAAATATGGCAACATCAAGGGGATGTCACTCCCAAAAATAGGTTACAAATGATGGTGATTTCAATTTTGCTAGCTGACTTCTCTCTCTTGCTGGCTTTGATGAAGCAAGTAAGTCACCATATTGAAGTCCCTGTAGCAAAAAACTCAGCATCTTAGTCCAAGAGCCCTCAAAGGATTAAATTCTGATAACTTCTTAAGTGAACTTGAAAGTAGATACTTTCCAGTTCAGCCTTCATATGAGAACCCAGCCTGCTGACACCTTGACTATAGCAATATTAGAGATTGTGGCCAGAGGAAAAGCTAAATACTGTCTGGATTCTTGACCCAGTGCACTATGAAATAATAAGTGCATGTTGTTTTAAGCTGCTAAGCTTTAGAGTAATTTGTTACAAAGCAACAGATTACTAATGCAGCTCTTCTGGGATCTTTGCATTTTTATATATCTTTTAGAATCAGAATATCAATTTCTATTAAAAAATTATGAAACTTTCATAGGGATTATATTGAATCTATAGATCAGTTAGAGGAGTATTAGCATCCTACACTATACTGCATAAGATTCTATTTGTTTACAACTTCTTTATTTTTTCTTTTTTTTTTTTTTTTTTTTGCAACCTCTACATCCAAGATTCAAACAATTCTCCTGCCTCAGCCTCCAGAGTACCTGGGATTACAGGCATGCGCTACCATGCACTGGGATCACAGGCATGCACTATCATGCCCAGCTACTTTTTTGTATCTTTAGTAGAGACAGGATTTCACCATGATGGTCAGGTTGGTCTCAAACTCTTGACCTTGTGATCCACCTGCCTCGGTTTCCCAAAATGCTGGGATTACAGGTGTGAGCCACCTTACCCAGCCAACTTATTTAATTATTCTAAATTTCTCTGTAATTTCTCTCAGTAATGCTTTATAGTTTTCAGTGTATCAACACTATACTTCCTAGTATTTCATTCTTTTTGTCGGCTTAAAGATTTCTGCATCTATGATTATGAGGGACTTCATTTATTTTTAACAATAAAACGCTATTTTCAAGAAGACAAAACTGAAGTCCAGAGAATGCTTAGGATCACTTAAGTGAAACATGGGAAGAATGAGACCTAAATTCAGCTATCTAAAAACAGTGGTTCTCAACAGCTTCAGAACTGTTCCCTAAGTGAGTAACAGAAATTTGCAAGGAAAGTTTTGGTTATCACATATGACTGAGTGCTACAATGATTTAGTGGGCAGAAGCAGCAAAAAAGGATTCTAGACATTCTAGAAGGAGAACAGTTCAATAATAATAATAATAATAATGGTCCTAGGTCCTACATTACTTTAGAATGTTCTACTGGATATCAGTGAAAGTAACAGACTAGAAGATTATCTGAGCCTATGCCTTCCCCCCACCCAGCCCCTGCTTTTTTTTTTTTTTTTTTTTTTTTTTGAGACAGAGTTTCACTCTTGTTGCCTAGGCTGGAGTGCAATGGTGCAATCTCAGCTCACTGCAACCTCCACCTTCTGGGTTTAAGTGATTCTCCTGCATCAGCCTCCCAAATAGCTGGGATTGCAAATGCCTGCCACCATGCCCAGCTAATTTTTTGTATTTTTAGTAGAGATGGGGTTTCTCTGTGTTGGCCAGGCTGGTCTCAAATTCCTGACCTCAAGAAATCCACCCACCTTGGCTACCCAAAATGCTGGGATTACAGGCATGAACCATTGCGTCTGGCACCAAACTTTTTTTTTATTTCAAAAATGTAACCATTGCGTAAATTAAGGTAAAAATGAATGTTGTTTGTTTAGTACTACACCAATATCTGTTCACCACTTAGAAAAATCACATTATAGACAATCATACATCCCTCGTAGCAGGACAAATCGTACCTCATACCTCTATCAGTCTGATTTGTACCTGTCACATACACAGTGATTCCTAAATGCAAACATCCAATTATATCTTTTATCATAGTCATGTTGGTACTTATGGAATAATGAAATGCATACTACATATATTTTAAATTAATTATTTTTCCTATTATGGTATAGAGAACTGTTGGTTAATATTATTTACCTAGAAAAAGTCTATTTACTATTCAAAATTAAATTCATATATAATGAATAATTACAAACTATTTGTGATATAAAGAGGGTGTTAAATTTCAGAGGGTGAAGAACTACAGTATTACATTATGCTACCTCCTAAGTACATCTCCTGCTCACCATAAACTCTGGCATTGCCACAGTTAATACTGCTATTGTCTCTGGTCTAGTGACTTTTGACAGCCTCCTAACTAGTCTCTATCACTTGAACTTTCCCTCTAATATAATTTACTTATTGTCAAAATGTTACTGTTTTTCCTTTAAAAAATTATTATCCAAGATATAAAATAGGATCAAAATATTTATTTAAGTTCCTACTATCCTTCAGAAAAAAATCCAAATTCTCCACTATGGCATTTAGGATCTCTTATTACCTGCATTATCTGTTTCTAGATTTGTCTACACTTACTATCACCTATTATATGTCTAAATCATGCTTTCTGGACTTCCTCAAAATTTTCATATTTTCTAATGGCAATGCCTTGCATGACCTACTCACTATTTTGACATGACTTCCCATCATCATTCCTGTACCCATCTTTTAAACGTCTGGAATTCACATACTGTGTGACATCCTATTCCAGACCCTACCCAAATTTATGTCCTGCTTCACAGAGATCCAAAGCTTACATTCAGACTTTTTAATATAAACATTTTGGTAATGTAATTAATTATAAGCTTAACATTCTCATGAATTCACAATATCCTCAAAATGTAATAACAAATTTTTATATTCCCTTAACAATTTTTATCATTGGTTCTTCATATTTGTTGAATCAATGAATTTTTAACTAATTTTCCACTCTCTTCATATTCTTTCTTTTCTGAAATTCTAGACATTAATTACATATAACTAAATATACATAACGGCATCAAATTCCAATTTACTCCACAAAAACAAAGAAATCATGGCTCTTTTAAATATGTCATGATAGAAATAGTCAGTCTTGACATTCGTTTCTCCATTAAGCAGAATCTCAGCATCTTTCCCAAAGTTAAAATAGAATAAATTTGCAAGTAAGCTTTCATTTGCCTATTTTCCATTTTTCTTTACAGCAAAAATATTAAAAACATTTTAGCCCTTCAATGTTTGAGTTCAATTGGAACTATCTAAACATCACATCAATCAATACCTTTATATGTTCTTCTTTATATGCACAATGGAAAGAATTAGGAGTATAGGAGTTGGCTATAGTCATTATGCTCTAATGTGGCAAATATTAGTGTCAATTTAAGTAAACAATAAAGGGTTATGAGGTCAAAATGGAAGACTGCATAATTTATCAGATCAAGCAAATCATTTTGAAAGTACAGAAGTAAGTGAAGCATGAGGCTATTACTGCCTTAAGGTTAATATCAATGTTTATTTAATTACATATTAGATGGTATTTGCTATCTAAATTTTATTTATGAAAATAAGTATTTTGTTACACTGTCATATTTTAAACCACTGGGTCAAATTTAATTTACAGCACTGCCTTATACTAATACAAATAATATATTATTCTAAGTTTTAAACAAAACATTAAAATTGCTTTGGACATTTTGATTAGTAAAATATGCTTCGTGTAAAATATGAAATCTCACTTAGTGAGATTTCTACTAGTAAACAGAGCAAATGAGCAGACAATCAAAGAAAAAAATGATTTATAATAAAATGTCATAAAAAGTGCTATGAAGAAAAATAACTACCAGGTGTAGACTAAGAGACAGTGATGGAAGTACACAGATGATACGAAAAGGCTGACTTAGGAAGGTAGGTCAAAGAAGAATGGGCAAAGATGACATGTGAGTAAATACCTGTATAAAGAACTTATGTAAGCCACATCGACATTTGGACAAAAATGTTGTATCCATGAAGAACATGTGCAGAAGTTCTAATACGGGAGCATGGTGTGTTTACTCAAGTAATAACAGGCAGCCCGTGTTGTCAGAGCAAAATGATCTAGTGCTCATTTAAGGTAAGATCATTCAGGGCTTTGTTGATTTCAAAAAGATAGTTTAGCTGTAATATGGTATACTACAGGGATAAAGAGATAAAAGTGGCATTAGGTAAACTAGTTAGGAAACCAAGAATCAGCAAATTTCTGCTGTATAGCCTATGAGCTAAGAATGGATTGTAAATTTTTAAACAATTGGAAAAAAAGATATTTCATGATGTGAAAATTATATAAAATTCAAATCTAAGCTTCCATAAATAAAGTTTTACTGGAACAGAGCCATACTCATTTGTCTAGGTACTATCTGGCTGCTTCTTCACTACAAAAGCAGAGTACGTGGTGCTCTCATCACTTAGCACTGCTGCTTAGCACATTTCAGATCATACTGATGTAGCTATAGCATGATAGTGTTTCAAATGTCACACATATTGTCATACGACATTTTATTTTTATTTTCCTGTTACCAATGTGTACGTATGACATTAAAACATAAAAAAGAAAAAAGTAGACTTTAAATAACATGTTTTTAAAGGCATAGTGGCGTGTGAATTATTTTGTTTTGGAATTAAATGTCAAAGCATTTTTGTTTACTATGCAGTAACACAATAGTGATTTTAAAATATACATCAATATTACCAAACAAATCATTCATTATAATATTGCAAATGCATAAGAATGCAGCAGTCAAAAACTTAGAAAATTTAAAACAAATTATCTCATCAAAACAGATAAAACAGAATACCTTCAGAAAAATAAAAAATGAAAATGAGGCTGCAATTAAAGTAAGTTTCTGAGCGGTTTTTTTGTTAGTCAAGCGAAAAAAGTCATTTACAGATGGTGAATTAATTAAACTGAGTTTCATTTCACAGCCAAAGAATTGTATCCAGAGAAAACAAAATTGTTTAAGAATATTATAGCCTTTTAGTGAAAATAGTTGCTTAAGGAGTTGAGGACACTGAAGTAACATCACTAGACAATTTTTTTAAAAAAGCAAATTATTTCAAATGGTTTTCCTTGGCTTTTCATGAGATCACAGATGCTACCTATATAATGTTTCATTCTTGTTTATTCAAGGAGTAAATGACTATTTTGAAGTGATTGAAAAACAAGCCCCCAAATAATCTGCATGGAACAACCATAGGGATGATTTTTTCAAAGTTGAGAAAACAAAAATTTAGTACCATCTGAAGCAGAATCTGCTAGGATGTGTTACACCAAATGGAGTTAAAAACATGTATGGAGGAGAAAATTGAACAACTTACAAAGTTTGTGAAAACATAAGGTATTAAAGCATAAGCTTAGTCACTGTATTACTCAGTACTCTGTATTACCCAGGTACTCTGCCAAAAGTATTAAATATTGGAATTTATCAAGTTTTATCAAACCAGGAGTGTCATGGTGAACTTCATTCACTTTTATTTTCATGGACTTAACCAATGTCATTTCCATGAATTTTTCTCAGAAATACAAATGGAATATACTAACTTGCTCTTCCATAAAGCAATACAAAATTTTTTAAAAAATTTTTTGAGACCCTGTCTCAAGAAAAAAAATCTTAACAGTGGAAAGGTTATATTATGATTTTCAGCTCAGGGAATAGACTGATTTCTCTTTTTTTTTTTTTCTGAGCAAGGAGAATCACCCTTAACCACTATTATCAAACACTCAATGGTGTTAGAAATTAGCTTTTGCTAAAGACACAATTATGTTTCTTAATAAATTCCATCTACATTACAAGGCAAAACAGCCCACATGTAGAAAATTACACTGCAGTAAAGTCATTTAGATGACAACATTGTATGAATCACAAGTAATATCAAGTTACTTTATACACTTTTCTGTGCTATTAAAAGTTAAAAAGAAGTGCGATTGTCACTGCCACACAAATTTACAGCTAATATATTCTCCAGCTCAAACTCCAATCCTAGAAATATTTTCAGATATTGAGGCAAAGGCAAAGGAAATTCCTATATTTCAGAATCAATTTAAATATGCTATTGAGGAGCTTCCACTCAAGCATTAATTGCAAGTGATTAACCTGTAAAGTAATGTTATGCTAGAAGGCAAATATCAAGGGAAAAATCTAACAATTATATAAATGCCTTCTAATAGATAAATATGCTCAATTAACATCCCGTGCCCATAGATGGACATTAATATTTGACAATATTTATCTGTGTGAAAAAAATTTTTAAAAGATTAAATCCATAAAATCTTACTATAGATCATATTAATAGGTGAAAATTTGCCATCTATTTTGATAACTGGGAACACTATGAACCCTAATTAAGTAAAATGTAACCTGGCCCCCACAAAAGAAATTCATTCTTCTCATCAGAAAATCCTATTACAGAAAATTGTACTCAATAGATATATTTTAAATTTTATCAATAAAAATATATTAAAATTTGCTTTCTGTCTTGTTATATAGATATTTACATAACATCCTTTGTCTTGCCTTTTGACTCAAAAAGTCTAAAATATTTACAATCTGATCCATTACAGAAAAAGTTTGACAATCCCTGATATAAGAAAATAATGTCTTTTTTCTAGACCAGGCAATGCAGATGATAGGAAATGTCCAGATTCTGGCTATCTCTTTAGGGTGGAGCCAATAAAATTTCCTGACATATTGTGGAGTATAAAAGAAGGAGTGAAGACAAAGATGTCTTCAGGATTTTAGCATGAGCAACCAGAGGATAAATAGCAGTTATTACCATGAACTGAAAGTGGAAAGGCTGTGGATGAATAGGCTGGAGTGTGGTTCAGTTTTGACATATTAAGTTTAATAATCTATCAAACAGAAGTGTATTAGGCAATTAGATACACAAGTCTGGTATTCAGGAGAGGTATCTTAGCATAAGATGCAAATTTGGGAATCACTGGCCAACAGATGGTTTTTGAAATGTTAAAACTGAATGAGATCACAAGGAATACCTGGCAAATAAATAGGTGTCCTGAGAACTGAGCAAAAGAGCACTATAACATTCACTATTTGGGAAGGTAAGGATGATCAGGTGACGGCAACAGTGTGTGGAACAATGTCTAATGAGGTAGGACATTATGCTGTCTTGAAGCAAGACAGCCAAAGTGCTGGCAGAGGGAGAAAATGATCAGCTGTGTCATGTGTCAATTAGATAAACATACTCACTATAGGTTGCACATCTCAAATTCAAAAATCTGGAATCTGAAATGCTCCAAAATTCAAAATTGTTGAGCACAGACATAACATGCAAAAGAAATGCATTGCAGCATTTTGGACTTTTGGATTAGGGATATTTGAGCAGTAAGTATAATACAAATATTCCAAAATATGGGAAAAAAAATGAAATCTGAAACACTTCTGGTTCCAATCATTTCAGAGAAAGGATATTCAATGTGTATGTGTTTATACAAGGCATAGACAGTAATGATTAACAGAATGAAGAACACAGTCCTGAAGCACCAGAAATGTTTCTCCTTCAATCTAATAATTAGTAAAACTAATATTTTAGTAAAATCAGAATTTTAGTTGTGGCGATCCAGTTCATATTTTTCCATCATGTATAATAAGAACAGTTATAAAAACTTTATCAAATGCCTTGCAGAATGTCTCAATATGTACACATCAATAATTATTTTAAATGTTCTTATTTCTTAACTTAGTTATTCTACTTCTGGGACTATTGCCTAAAAAAGTAATCTAAAGTAGGAAAATATTTTATGACTAAAGTTAAAAGTCTTTTTCCAGATTATATCTGTAAAAAGTAAAGTGACTTACTTTACCTGTTTTTTTTGTTTTTTTTTTTTTTTTGAGACAGGGTCTCATGCTGTTCCCTAGGCTAGAGTATGCAACGCATAATTATTGCTCACTGTAACCTCAACTTCCTGGGCTCAAGAAATCCTCCTACCTCAGTCTCTGGAAAAGCTGAGCCCACAGGTGCATATATGTGTTGACACCCAGCTAATTTTTAAAAATTATTTGTTGTAGAGACAGGGTCTCCTATGTTGTACCAGCTGGTATTGAACTCCTGGGCTCAAGTAATTCTCCCACCTCCTTGAATACTGGGATTACAGGCATGAGCCACCACACCTAGTTCTTACTTTATGCTTTACACTCAACAACTCAAAGTTCCTTAAAGATGTGATGCTGAATTGTTTTCCTGGTACCACACTCTCAGCATAACTAAAAAGTTAATTTGTCATTACAATTCCATAGTCTAGATATCTATCTACATCTATTGTTATGATTTATCATATTGTATCAGACATATTATTAATATGTCTTTCTCATCTATTGGTAAGTATCCTTCCTGAGAGCAGGGCCCTGTGCCTAGCAGACTGGGAGTTTCAATAAATGTTTACTGTATTCAATTATCTAGTGAGTAACCTGTAATTCAATCTTCTGAGAATAGCATGTATTTTTGCTTTGTCTAAGACATAAGGCAAATGTAGAGAAGTAATAGAAAACAAAGAGCTACCCAAGCAGCATCACCAGCAACAACATTTATAAGCTAGCAGAAAGAAGGAGGCAGTGAAGACATCAGAAAAGAAAGGATCGCAAGTAGGGGGGAAAAAAAAAAAAGAGTGAGATGTGCCAGAAGCCAGTGGAAGAAAATGACTTAACAAGGAAGTGACCCACACAGACAAATATCATAAAGAAACAAAAATTGTAATATAATGGCTTTGATAAAGAAGAGCTCACAAGACCTCTGCCAGAGCAGTTTCTGGCAGACTGCAATAGACTGATGAATGAATAGGCTGAGGAGGCAGAAAGTTCAAGATCTGCTAAACCTGACTTAAGAAGGAAAAAAAGAGAGACTATGTATCCACAGTCTTTCTCAATGGGAGACTATTGTTATTTGGTGGTTGTACAGAAACTCTACTTAAATATCACAGGATGTTTAACTACCTGGATTCCAACAATAAAAGTCTGCAAGCTTTCCAGTCATTGTGACAATCAAAAAACACCCCCCCACCCACATTTCTAAATGATCCCAGGAAGGACAGGGTACCATCTCTGACTGAGAGCCCTAAAATGCCAACTCAGTCTAAAACAGGAGTCTCTTTCCCATGAGATTGTTTTATAGTTTAAGATGAAGCTTATTAGCATTTTAGAAAATGTTGGCAATACAATTATAGGGAACAGTAAGTTTGGTAGGTCTCTATTTTTTCAGAGATGAGTTCTGCTGAGAGAACCCATCACATTATAGTTTAAGTACAACTTTCTGCTTTCTTCCACATCATCAAATGTCTTAAAAGAGATATTTTCTCTTACCTCTGTTTACTAATCACTCACTCATTCCCTAAACCTTTATAATACGGCCCCACTTTCTCCACACTACCAGAACAATTCTAAGATAACCAGTACCTTCTTGACTCCAAATCTAAGGCCTTTTTCTTAGACAATTTTGCTTTTGATCATCTTACAGCATTGGTCACTGCTCCTTCTTAAAACCACTTATTCTCCCACCACGGTCCTAGTTTGGGCACTTGTTGTCTCTTAAACTATAAAATACCTCTGGTCTCTGCCTTCCCTTCACTGTCGTCTTCTAACATTTACCCATTTTACAAATGACAAGATCTTATAGAAACATAGTTCTTAAACTGTTCTGGCTTCAATAATTTTAGAATGGTTGACAGAATAGACCAAATATCTTGGCCCCAATATTTAAGATCCTTGACAATCAGGTCCCTGCCTATCTTTCTAATCTTATTTCCCACCAATCTGGTTTACATACCATTCATTCTAGATGAGCAATTAAAACTGTTTAGTGTTCTCTGTACATGTCCTTCTATCTACTTTATACATGCTTTCACTTATCTTCCTTCGCCCGAAAGTAATGCTTTTGCATTGCATGGTCATATATCCAGTTCTTCTTCATACTTTGATCTATAACTCCTATGTCAATACTTCCCTGACCTCGCAGCTATAAGCAATAGCCCTACCTTTCCTAAACTTTAAAAGTACTTTGTCTTTTTTTTAATATCATCTTTAAATCTGCATTACACATTTCATATAAACATCTTGCCTCTCCTATAAAGTTAATTAAGAGCTATTACTTACTAAGCATAATATTAGGTACTTACATGTATCACACTGTATCCTCTCAATAACTGAGTTACTTCAATTTAATAAATACAAAAAACAGAGGCTTAGGAAAACCATAAACTAGCAAATACTCAACACATATTTTTTAATAAATAATTATTCAAGATGAAATATCATTCAAAATGTTTACAAATATATAGCTATATTTCACTTCAAGTGAACTAAAGGTAGAGCTCCAAAAAATAAAAAGAAATATTTAAGAAAAGAGCAAATAATAGATAAGAGGTTGAGTTCAAATATAATATTAGCAGTTACTACTTACCTTGAGTGCATATGATTTTTCAGGCACACTTTCTACATGCTAATTTCTTTTATTCTCATAACAATTCTTTAGAATAGATACTGTTTTCACTGACCAATACTAGGTGAGGTTAAAGTTTCAAAGCCAAGATACCCATAAAGCCAGTCTTTCTGACTTAAAATTCTTTGCTCTAGAGTAGTTAGTGAGAAGGCCCAAACAACCTAAGCCTAAAAGAAACACAAATTTGGGCATGTGTTTCTTATTGTTTTATTAATATTAGATGTGGACATTTACAAACTGTAATAAGCCATTTAAAAATAGAAAATTTTCTACTTTTCCTGATTTCTATAAAATGTAATATGTCATTTAATAACCAAGGAAACATTCTATTTCTCCTAATATCTCTAAGCAGACTTAGAAGGAGAAGCCTATACAATACATTACAATTTGTTACTTGGAATGAATATCTGTTTCCAAAAGAAAAATGAAAGTAGTATATAATAAGTGACAAAGCACCAAATAGAGTAAGGAATCTCAAACTAAAAACTGAAAAGCACTGTAAATATCTTCTTATTTTAAAATACATCCATAGAGTCAGCAAAAGGATACAACAAAATGTATAAATTGTACCAACCCACTCATGCTAGGACTTTCCGATAAAAGTTTCTGGTCAGAGAGTAAACTGTTAATATTTGAATTGAAGTTTATGTTAAAATGCTATAAAAAACAAAATTAATGTTAGTAAAACTGAAATTAACTGCCAGGAATGATAGTAGTATTTACCATGATGTTTTACTTCATTAGAGTAAAAAACCAAAAAAAAAAAAAAAAAAAAAAGTCTACTTCTATTTACAATAAATAAAACTAATCAATGTTACAATCCTTCCACGTGAATCATTAGAACTCTGGGAGAGAGCTAAAGAGGAGAAATCATCATGTCTATTATTACTGAGACTAAATGGGATTAACTAATCCTCATGAGATAAAGTTATGAATTAAGTGGTACTCAGAACACTAAGAAAATTTGTGGGGAGAAAATGCAAATAGCTCCCTAATTATCTACAGCCTATTAACAAGCAAACCTTATTACTTGCAATTAAAATCCTCTTAAACTTTATGGCAAAAGTTCACTGAAACGTTAAAAATTATATGCTAATTATTATACTGTAAAGCACATGTTTAATGTGTACTTTTACTATAGCCTCAATAAACAACAAAATATCAAATTTAAGGTGATGCAGTAACTAAATATTTTACTAGATAGAAAACACATGTGGTATGAAGCCAGTATGGATTCCTATTACAATTTCACAGCACTACAAAACCAGAATACCTGTGGATGGTGATGTGGCTATCCTGTTAACCACTGAATGGAACTCCCAACACCATCACAGTACCTGGCATGGATAAGTACTGAAGTATTGATTGAAGAAATAATTTTGAGGGATGAGAATATGTATTTGGTGATAATATCATCTACTTTCAGGTTCTAAATCTTTAAGGCTACCACAGAGCTCATTCACTAACTGGTTTTTGTACCAATTCCCAAACTATGAATCTATACTACTTATGAAATTATTTATGTCTAAAAGCTCCCATGGCAACCTAGACCAAGTTTGTCTTATTCCTAACTATATCAGAGCACCCAGCACAAATGAAGCCATCAATAAATATTTGTGAAATAAATGAATGAATGAGTACAAGAACAAAAAGGATGTTACAGATTGCAATTTCCTGGGACACAATATTCTTCAGTAGGCAATATATTATGTTCTAAAAACAATAAGCCCATGCGTACAAATAGTGTAAGGCATGAAACAGTGCCCGTAGGATGGCTCTTTTCTTTTAACTGAGGACTGCTCCAGCTCCCACCAGATTTTTTTTTTTTTTTTTTTTTTTTTTTTTTTTTTTTTTTGAGACAGGGTTTGCTCTGTCACCCAAGCTAGAGTACACTGGCGCCTTGATCTCCTGGGATCGAGTGATCCTCCCATCTCAGCCTCCTGAGTAGCTAGAACCACAGGCACATACTACACACTCAGATAATTTCTGTATTTTTTATAGAGATCTGGTTTCACCATGCTGCCCAAGCTGGTCTCGAACTCAAGCAATCCACCTGCCTCAGCCTCCCAAAGTGCTGGGACTACAGGTATGAGCCATTGTGCAGGGTACCGATATCATTTTCATACCTATACAAGTTAAGGAAAAATCCTTTAATATGTGAAGCAAACTATCAATATGCAATTTCCCTCAATGTTTCTCTCTCTCCCTCTCCTCTCCCCCTTTCCCCCACTTCTTAACAGTACGTTTGTTCAAATCATGATCCAAGGTCCATAAAATGTGCCTGTTGTGGTATTTCATAAGTCTCTTATCCCATACGTTCCCCTTTTATTTTTATATTTTTCACATCTATTTGTTGCAAAAACTAAGTTGTTTCTGCATGCATCCAGCTTTTTTGCATTCTGAATTTTTCTAATTACACTCTTGCAGTGTCTTTTTGCATGCTCCCTCTTTCCCTTTATGTCCTATAAACTGGTTATTATTGGATTTAAAATAGCAATTTCTATTAGAAATACAATGCAAATCACATATACATTTTAAAGTTCTCTAACAGTCACATAAAAAAAGGAAAGAAACAGACAAAATTAATTCTAATAATATATTTTAACCCAATATATTCAAAATATTATTTCAGCAATCAATATAAAAATAAAATATTTGACATTCTTTGTTAGATCCTTTCATCATTTGAATATCATTCCAAATCCAATGAGTATTTTATAACTTATAGCACATCTCAGTTCAGACTAACCACATTTTAAGTGTTTAATAGCCATATGTGGCAACCATATTAGACTGCACAGTAATCAAGACTTGATCAAATTGAGGCTGGACACATAATAAATACTTGCCTGTTTCTCTGTTGGTGATGTTAATATTGGTCCATGAATCTAGGTAATGTCAGCCTAGACCATTCATTAGGAACATCCATATCAACTTATTTCCTAATCATTTTAGTAGCCCTTGATGATTATGCCCAGGTATCGTTTTTTTGCTATTATAATTCTATTATTCTTTCTGCATTTATTAGCTGCAATTCTTCAATAAAAAGAACTAGCCAGTTACGGTGGCTCACAGCTATAATTCTAGCACTTTGGAAGGCCAAGGCGGTAAGATCGCTTGAGGCCAAGAGTTTCAGACCAGCCTGGGCAACATAGCGAGAATCTGTCTCTACAAAAAATAAGCCTTCTTTCATCGATGTAGTTATTATAAGTTATAGCCTATATAGAAAAATAAGATAAACATATGATTTCTAACATTAATATTTGGTTTTTGACATTAAAACCTGCCTCCCCAGAATCCTCTGAAGGTAATCTATAAAGATTTTGCAATGAGTATCATTATGAACTCATGGATTTAAACATAATTTGCCATGTTTCAATCTATTGTACTCATTCTTTTACTTTTAGATTGTTTCATCCTTTGGCTAGTGAAAGCTACTTCTTATCTCCTGCAACCTTTTTTACCTCACCCCAGGAATCTTTGGCCTCTGACGTAACAGGATGGTCCACGCTGATCTTGCCCAATCAAGCCAATAATTTTCATTGGCAAATGCTATTTAGAGAAAACAATGTAGGTGGTGAGGGGTTTTGCTGCTACCAGATTGTCTGTCATTTCTAGGCCATTCAAGTAGACAAAGCAAAAAAAAAAAATACTGTTTAATTTTTAAAAATGAGTTTTATAGATATTTCCAACTGAAATTTAAGATAAAAGGAGTTTTTTCTCAATTTTTATATATGTTCTCATTTTCTCTTGCTCTGGAAAATCTCAGTTTCCAATACCATTAACATAAGTACTTATTTGCTTTACACTATAGGGTCATAACTGTATCTCAGCATGTGTCAGGAATTCATTCAGTAAGTATTTTTTCATAAATAAATATATTGAAAGGCTGTCACTTTGGGAAATTATTAGAATTACATTCAGAGTAACAATAGCAAGACTACTACCAACAATAACCAATAATAGTCTAATATTTCTCTTGAGAGAAAGAAGGTCCCACTAGGAATCTTCAGACTACTGTGTTCTAAAGTTATGTGAAATAATTTGTCTCTATGTAGTATATAATAGCAAATTAAGTTATTTCCTTTGGCTTCCAATTCAGTCATTGATTTAAACATTTTTTAATTGTTTTATAATTACGTATTAAAAGTAAAATCTAGAAAACAAGGTTTATTGAGAAAAGTCCATTTTCATTGTTGTTGTTGTTGTTGTTACTGTTGTTGTTGTTGTTACTGTTGAGACAGAGTCTCACTCTGTCCAGGATGGAATGCAGTGGTGCAATCTAGGCTCACTGCAATCTCCACCTCCTGGGTTCAAGCAATTCTCTTGCTTCAGCTTTCCAAGTAGGTGGGATTACAGGTGCCTGCCACCATGCCTGGCTAATTTTTGTATTTTTAATTAGAGACAGGGCTTCACCACATTGGCCAGGCTGGTTTCAAACTTCTGGCCTCAAGTGATCCACCCATCTCGGTCTCCCAAAGAACTGGGATTACAGGTGTGAGCCACCGTGCCTGCCCAAGAAGTCTATTTGCAATTCCTATCTTTCTACCTTGTCTCTTCTATTGCCTAAAGTCATTTTTGTTAGTTTTAGGATAAACTTTCCGTTTTAAAAATATAAACAAATATAATTGCATTTTCCCCTCCCCACTCCTTACATAAAGGGTTATATATTACATATACCTTTTTCTATCTTGTTTTGTTCATTTATCCTGGTTCATTTATCCTGAGAAATTTCATTTATCCTGGTGATCCCTTTCAAAGCAGTGTATACAGATATTCTTCATTGTGTATATGTAAAACAGATTATTCAGTTTCCTACATTGGATGGATATTTTTACCCTTTTTAGACTTTTGCTATTATAGATAGTGCTGTGATAAATAGCCTTATTATTTTTGCCACCCAATCTTTAAGACAGATTCCTAGAACTGAGGCTGCTGGGTCAAGGAATAAATGAATATGCAATTTTGGTAGATCGTGCTAAATTGCTTTCCTACAAGTTTATGTTTTCTCTAGCAATGTATGCCTTTTTAGCAAGAGCAATCCACTCAATGGGCATTGACTAAAAACTGTCACTTGGCAAACCAAAAGTTTGCTGTCAAGATATACAAATGGCCAGTGTGCTGCTTCTGTCTTTTCACACCACTGCCAAGAGCAATGCTTATCCATTTATTTCACTCAGGACAGAAACCAATAGCAATGGAAATGAAAAATAATTGTCATTTAGATTAATTTTGCCTAATTATAAAGTTTTCATATGATTTTAAAATACAAAATTCTATTTTAAAAATCTTGGTGAAATGGAACCTCAAGGGTCTTTCAAATAGCTACCTTCCAAAGGTTCTATATTAATGTGCTGTATAGGGAAGTATTTACAGCCAACTGCCCCTCCTAAAACATCCTTTTGTATTCTCTCCCCATCCCAAACCTAGACTAACTTTAGGATCTTCACATTTGCATTTGTGGGGAAGAGGTTAGAGGGTAGCAGGGAAGATGTGTGATGACATTCTGGGTTTTGGAGTGGCTTTTTGCTTCTGTTTGTTCATTCTCTGTTTTCACAATGTCTGCCACTTGCAATCCATCCTAATTGTAGCTGCCATTGCTGCCAAGATCCACTACTCTTCCAACTTTTATGTTTGTTTGTTTTTGGTGTTGCTTTCATTTTGTTAGGCTTCTCAGCCAGCAAGTGAAACGTCTAGACTTTCACATTAAGATCATCAGCCAAATCTTTCATTTTAATCTAGTAGCAAAATGATGAAATGCAAATACTACCCTTCTAGGAAATGCTCATTTCTGGCAGGGTACTCAGGAGCTACTTTTATATTGTTAGAGAAGGTTTATTTTGTTTGCATTGTTGTGGGTTTTGCTTTCTTTCTTTTCTTTTTCTAAATCCAGAGGTTACATAAAGCCAATCTTCAAAATGCACTAATTCCAGAGTACACTACAGAGCTGGCATAAACTGCCTGATCTCTGTCTACACAACAAAGTTACCTTTTATCAGATTGTAAAACCACCTTTCAGGGCTGCCACAGAACTGCTCAGAACAACACAGTCTACAAAAATATTCTAAAACATTTACTGTGATAAAACTCCCTTGATTGCAAAAGTAGTCATTCCAACCATTGTATTACTAAATAAGTGTTTTTTGGGCACTAGAATATTATACTAAAATATAAGAAACATAAAGGCAGGAAATTTTGTCTGTTTTATTCACTACTAGATATTCAGTGTTTAGAACAATGTTGCAAACAGTGAAACTCAATATCTATTACAAATATTTATTGACAATAAATAAATGAGCATTATTCATAAGATATGATGGAAGTATTATGAGTAGAAACAATATCTGCCCTTAAGAAACTGCTAATTTGATTAGACGAGGTTAAACAACTAACAAGACAAATATGTAACAAACATAAGCCAAATGAATGGAGTTGGCATCAATGTTGTAAGAGCTCATAGAATGGAAATATCATGACCCAGTGGAGCGATCTCTACTCACACTTTGCTTGTCATAAAAAGTGGTGCTCAGAATAATTAGCACAGAAGGGAGAAGTACAAGTAGATGAATTAATGTGAGCAAATACACAAAATCAGGAAATGATGAACAGCAATCCATAAGACAGACTTCCCCTATGAATGAGACATGTTTTTGTTTTCCTATTTTTGTTTTTAAAGCAAAGTACATTTAAAGCTGAAAGTATATATTTTTTAAAAAACACAATATAATTTTTATTTATAATTAATAATTATGCTAAAATGCTTCTATATCATATAAGCAAACAGAAGATGTTTTTAGTAATAACCACTAGGGGTTATCATTTTAAAATCAACATGACTTGTTTCCTACATGTCGAAGCATTTAACATTGTGTTTACATT